GGGGGTACCCTGCAGCTAAAGAGTTGTCCGGGGGGCCTCCGCCGGAAACTGTTTCTTGCAATCTGCTCATTGTAACTATGTTGAGACCTAGAAATCTTTTTAAATGTACCTTCACTTTTGAAATTTAATTTCAACTCTGAGGCATATCATAAACGAAAACAATGATTGTGAAGTGAATACTTATGTATCGATACATATTTGACAATATAATACAACACAACATTATACATTTCTCTAGTCTAGGATTTAAATTGAGGATAGTTGCCTGTTGTCCCAGCTATTGTTAAAACCTCATTCTTATCTAATAGGTGAAAATGTGTTTGGTTTTAGAAACGGGACATTTCGGCGTCCCGAGAGACTTTTTCGGGACACCGGGTACGATCGTCAAAAAACGGGACAGTCTCGTTTTTACGGGACATTTGGTCACCTAACCTTCAGCCTCCCGTGGACCAGCGAATGGTCTGACCGGAGTCGAGGTCCAAATTTGTATTGGGCTTTACGTCCAATAAATAGTAGGCTCACGACCATACCCTCCTAAGATCTTTCTTTATATATCTATCTCTATAAGATCATTTGCCAACTCTAGGCTAGCTAAGCATAAGGCTACAGGTCAATAGTTCTTGTTCATATGGTTTTGGTTTTTTTATTGAAGCCCACATATTGTTGTGCTATCTTTATTTGTGTTCAGTAATTCTGTCGCCAGCTGAGCCGTGCGCTAAATAAGTGATGGTCATTGACACCTCGTCTCTTGAGACCTTATCCCAGGGTGTTAAGTCTCCGGAGATGCAATACACATACAGAGCAATAAAGGTGGCCAACAAAACTGATTTTCAGCCCCACCCCCTCAGCCCTCACCACCACATCCTACACAATCTCTGTTGTTAATGCTTGCAATCTGTGCACCAGTTTCAGGCACGTGTTGGAGGATTTTGGGCGGGGGTGGGGGGTTATCTTATGCTACAAGCAACAATATATGCAGTGGCGTAACTGGGGCCAGTGCCGTCTGGGGGTGGAAAAGATTTTGCCGCCCCCTTACCCCGAAAAAAAACCTCCTCAGCTGGACGAACCTGCTGGCCCTCCATGTTAAGACGAAAATTGCCCCCCCCCCCCACGTTGCATACCGCCCCCTCCGAAACCCCTTCTTACGCCACTGATTAGATAAGTTGACCAGTAAATAGTGAGGACAGCTAAAGAGAAATCTTACAAACTTTAATATTACAAACTTAAATCTTACAAACTTTAATATTACAAACTTAAATCTTACAAACTTTAATATTACAAACTTAAATCTTACAAACTTTAATATTACAAACTTAAATCTAGCAAACTTATATCTTACAAACTTAAATCTTTCAAACTTAAATCTTTCAAACTTCATTCTTACGAACTCTCACTGAAAATCAGTACGGGATCTCTCTCCCGTCCCCACCCCAAGTTTTAGTGAGAATCGTAGATTCTTGTCCCGACGATCAAACTCCAGTCAGTTAGGTTCACACAAGATGGCGTACAGTATGACACACACATACCCCCACCCCCACCCAACCCCCCCCCCTCCCCCAACGCACACGATTCATTTCTTCTATCCGAGACGCTTCAAGGTAGCAGGTGGTGGCGCTATTGGCTGTATTGGGGTAGCTGGAGTTTGTGATGCCTGGGGCGGTCGTTAACTTGCCGCCCCTCACTCACCCCCTAAATGTATACATATATAAACATTGAAGACTAAAGACTACACATCAAACAAAAGCCATGACGTACAAATTATCTGTAGTGGGCCGACAATGCCACCACACGGCCGCCCGCCCCCCTCGGTCTGCAGTGAGAAAGGCTTCAGTAATAATCTCTGTGGAGGACACTGGTGGAACAAGGGTCTACAACTTATATTAAACCAGTCTGGTAGGAAGTGGGGAGGGGTGAGGGGGGGTGGGGTGGGGCGGTCCGTCACAGGTGGCACTTGTTTCTTTATTGTGTGGCAGAGTGTCATTTTCGGGCAACTGGAAAATTTTCGAGGCAAATAGATTGTATGACGTTGTCATGCACCACGCAACAAGCTGTCATCGGTGTTTATTTAAAGTATCTCACCTGTTAGGGTTAAGGTTAGGGTTAAGGTTAGGGTTTAGGTTAGGGTTAAGGTTAGGGTTAAGGTTAGGGTTAAGGTTAGGNCGGTCAATGGACTGAGACGGTCAATGGACTGAGACGGTCAATGGACTGAGACGGTCAATGGACTGAGACGGTCAATGGACTGAGACGGTCAATGGACTGAGACGGTCAATGGACTGAGACGGTCAATGGACTGAGACGGTCAATGGACTGAGACGGTCAATGGACTGAGACGGTCAATGGACTGAGACGGTCAATGGACTGAGACGGTCAATGGACTGAGACGGTCAATGGACTGAGACGGTCAATGGACTGAGACGGTCAATGGACTGAGACGGTCAATGGACTGAGACGGTCAATGGACTGAGACGGTCAATGGACTGAGACGGTCAATGGACTGAGACGGTCAATGGACTGAGACGGTCAATGGACTGAGACGGTCAATGGACTGAGAGGGTCGGAGGACTGTGCAGAAGTGTAGATGAGCACTCCATTTAGGCAAAGAAAGACTGTGCAGAATTGTAGATGAGCACTCCATGTAGGCAAAGAAAGACTGTGCAGAAGTGTAGATGAGCACTCCATGTAGCCAAAGAAAGACTGTGCAGAAGTGTAGATGAGCACTCCATGTAGCCAAAGAAAGACTGTGCATAATTGTAGATGAGCACTCCATGTAGCCAAAGAAAGACTGTGCAGAATTGTAGATGAGCACTCCATGTAGGCAAAGAGAGACTGTGCAGAAGTGTAGATGAGCACTCTATGTAGCCAAAGGATTCAAATTGAATGTAGCCAAAACTCAAATACTTTTAAGTAGCCATAGCCCGCTAAACAATGGCGGGCGTAATGTCTGAACTTCCCATCTACTCAAGTGACTTGACAAAACATGCATTCAAGTAACACATTTGACAAGAATCCTGGTGAGTGCCCCCCCCCCCCCTTTCCCAAGTTCGCAACACACACTTTTTTTTCACGCCAATGAACTATATTACTAGTCTATTATCACACCCCCTTTTTATATTGCAGTACAAAACATGCATTCAAGTAACACATTTAACAAGAATCCTGGTGAGTGCCCCCCCCCCCCCTTTCCCAAGTTCGCAACACACACTTTTTTTTCACGCCAATGAACTATATTACTAGTCTATTATCACACCCCCTTTTTATATTGCAGGTTTATAACACCATATTTAAAATGAGACTATTTCCGTAAAACAAAATAGAATATTATGCACCAAACGCACTTGCGGTAAATTTAAGAATTATCCTATAGCCTATGACCCTATGGCCTATGGCCTATGGCGCAGTTAGCGAGAATTTTATCTAGTAAAAGAAATCGGCGCCATCTATTACTGCTATGGCCAAAATTGTCGTCCATTTTGTCCATTTTTTTTTAAAGCAAAGAGTGCGTTCAAAAGGATACTTGACAAAAATTTGATCGTGAGAACTGAGCATTAGTGACTTAGTTACATAGAGAATTGTGTATTTTGATTGAATTTTATGAATTTTTGAAAATATTTTCCACACACTTCCTTTCCAAGTTTAAAAAAAAAAATCTCTTTCTACTTTTTAGAATTAAAAATATAATCTTTAAATTATCGCCAAAAGCATTATTCTTTAAAAAAAATTATTCAACGAATGCCCACAAAATCCCGAGTAAAATGACTTAATTCTCTAGCCAAGCATAAAACGAAAAAGTAGCCCATATCTGAGATCCCCCTACCCAGAGGCGTAGCGAGGGTGTTTTGCGCCCGGGGACAAGATTCGCGCCTGGGGACAAGATCCATTTTAAAGCGCCCCCTTTTCTTCAACTCTCTAACCCATTATTTTTACCAATAATGTAATATCAAAGCACATTTTGGCGCCACTAACTAGCTTGCGCCCGGGGACATCTGTCCTCACTGCCCCCCCCCCCTCGCTACGCCTCTGCCCCTACCCACTCTCCTCTCGCCGTACAGTGAACAAAGCAGAAGCTACAAACCTCGATCAACTGAGCTATAGTCACATTTTGTGTCAACGAACTAATTACGATGGACAATCAAGATGGAAACGCGAGTAGAAAGAATGTTTTAAAAAATAAAACAAAATGTCTCAAAATGCAAATTCAAATGTGTAATTATGATTTAAAGGGATCAATTGCCATAGTTCTTTGTATAAGAAAAAACTATTTTAACAGCACAAATCTTGTGTGCGATTTTTTTTAGTAAATAAGCCTTTTTCCAAAATATTTATAACAAAATGAATGTATATGTTACCAGTCCATTAATTACCCTTGTCAACTGGTGAATTTAAAAAAAATGGTGAATTTAAAAAAATGGTGAATTTAAAAAAAAGGTGTGGGGGTGTGGGGGTTTACAGTCAACATTCCCCGGAAAGACAACTCAAAGAAACACTGGTTGCAAACAAGAAAAATTAAACTAAAAAATACAGCAGGAAAGGGGGGTGGGGGGTGCATTACGAATTAGCGCACAACTGCATCTCCTTTAGACCTTCATGTTGAACAAAACATGAATACACATAAATATTATCAGAGTTGCGGGTACGTCCATATAGAAATTAAGACTGTGGGCCCACGCAAAACGAGTACTATACCGGTTTGCGATAACATTGTATAATAGTATATAACAATCCTCGCGCGAATTCTGAACATAAACGTCTACCGGTTAAAAAATAACAGCAATTTATTGATCGAGTGACCTGGTGAGGTGTTACTGGCTATTATACGTGTTGATATTTAGTTAAACATTCAAATAGCCTGTCATTTATTTTTTAATTAAATGCAAATATATTCTACTGCTAATCGACGGTTGTGATATTATTTTGTGTTTACTCTATTTACAGTTAACAAATTTAGGATCTACCAAATAAATTAAGACAAAATCAAGTCATGTGACATTTTTTGGACCAATGAAAACCAAACACGCTTGTCAGTCCGTAAATATCACACCGGAACCCGTACCGGTGCCACGTTGAGAGTATAATAGAGCCCGTCTTTATTTCGGACTGATAGAAACAAGCAGTGTTCATACCTTCACAATTACTAAACATGATTCGGTTAGTTTTAATAACTCTAGCTGTCATTGCTAGACTATCAGCAGGCGATGTTGAGGAAGAAGAAGGAGTTTTAGTTTTAACAAATTCTAATTTTGAAGGAGTTATTGCAGATAATGAATTTGTTTTGGTCGAATTTTGTAAGTATTAGTATTTGTTTTTGCGGTGACTGTTCCTCGATTCATTATGTACTATTCAGTTACAGTTTTCTGTTAGAGAAAGGTATGTTCTAGCTTGAGCGTTTAACTAAAGGAAAAACCAAATGAGATTTGGGTTCGTACCACAATTTATCATTCATGCCATTAATTTTTATGTTAATGACTTAAATGAGTCATTACTTAAATACTTCGCATTACTATTCAATATTACTTACTTACTACTTAGTCTAATTACTTAGTCCAATACATACTTCTACAGACTACAGAGACAGTTTTTTTGTCTTGTTGAAAACTACCATTTATCGGGGATAGCCTAAACTGGTATATCCCTACACTCTGTATACCACCTACACTGACACTACAGTTGTCTTGAGTAGTCTACAACAGCCACTTGCTCCGATTTTTAAAAATGGGGCTAAGGCTAAGAAGTCTTTGAAATTGAAAGGTCAAATGCAGATATGAAATGTCTACACTTTAATTTTAGTAATCACTGAGTCTAAGTAATATACACAGTAACACACACACCACATTTGAATTAGGTTTAGGCCTCCTTACTTCTGTAATTCAAGCTGCAACATAATCTGTTTTGAGTAGGCCTATTCCTTTCTCTTCACCATAAGTTTGAACTTTGAACCAAGTCCCTACTTCTTTTTCCAATTTTTATTTTTAATAGTAATAGCTCATTCAAATGCAAACATAACTATGTGCGTCAGTGTTTCTTCTAATATTGATATTTCAAACGTTATACATAATTTTGGGACCATCCTGAAAGGGCCAGGGTGATCATGAATTTTACGTTGTTTGCTGGGACTTGGATGTGGAGGTGATGGTCAATTTTTAACCTTTAAAAGATTTTCTCTTTGCATCTGCTCTCATTTCCATCTTGTAAAGGGTAATTTTTGTTGTTGACACTGTTTCATTTTGTTTAGTGTTTGAGTACTCTGTATGCTGACTTGAAAGGTTGCCTGAGTTGACACAGAATTACAGCTCCTGTTTGCTGGGTCAAGGAAAGGGGGGTGGGGTTGAGTGATGGGGAAATAAGAAGAGGGGATTTATCTATAGCCGCTATTTTTGAAAAGCATTCGTTGTTTAAAAACCCCTTCTTTTGTGAAAAATTTGCAGATAAAAATTATCATACTAAATAAAAATTAGAAGATTTAAACAAATATTTAAAAAATACTTTCTTTCAAAGATGAGTTTAAGTGCACTAATAAGTAGAAATTAATTTTCTTAACATGGATTTCCAAAAAGAAAGTCTGTGTAGAAAATATTTTTACAAATTTGAAAACAAACAAATTTAAGTTTGTTCCAGATTTAATTGGATTCCTTTGGCTTAAGAGTGCCTTATTGCTCTTCTGCACTTACTTTCTTTTCTTGCAGGATAGGCAATGTAGGCCTATTGCTGTTAGCCTTAGTCTACTTTTTAATACTAAAACTCATGTCAGTTTAATTTAATTGGCTATGCACTATTGGAGAGCTAATTTATTATAGATATAGACCTACTAGACCAGCTATAGTTCAAGCATTTCTTCTTGGACTGGTAGAATAGCTATTCCGAATACTTATTCATTCAAAAATACTTTCATTTTACCTCTTCTTAGCTAGTCCTAGGTATTTTAATTAAACATCAGGCCTTACATTTTTGGACCAATCTTTTAGGCATAATATCAAAATCCAATTTAAGTCTGCTAGTAAGTCATAACACCAACATGCATTAACTTCCTTGATTAACATTTGGGCCTGTTATGTCATTTTGAAAGGATCCCTTTAATCTTTTATTGCAAATGAATATAAAAGACTCTAGGTCTGTAGCATCGTTTAAGATAACTTTAAATTATTACAGATGCTCCTTGGTGTGGACACTGCAAAGCTCTTGCACCTGAATATTCAAAAGCAGCCAAGAAATTGAGTGAAGATGGCTCCAAAATCAAGCTCGGAAAAGTTGATGCAACCGTTGAATCCCAGCTGGCTGAGAAATATCAAGTTAGAGGATACCCAACTCTTAAGTTCTTCAAAAATGGAAATGCTCTTGAGTATTCAGGTAAATGTTTTTTTTTTTTTTTTTTTTTTTTGAAATAAAAAGGGTAAAAAAAAGTGTTCAAAATATGAACATTTATTTATTACGCTACAAAAAATGCACATTTATTTATTACACTCAACAAATCAGTACTAAAATTAAGATTGACTGTAATATGAGTAATTATCTTGTGACAGGTGGTCGTCAGTCCAGTGATATTATCAACTGGCTAATCAAGAAAACCGGCCCCCCTGCTACAGATCTTAACGACAAGGATGCTGCTAGTGCTTTCAGAGAAAAGCAAGATGTTGTTGTCATTGGCTTTTTCAAGGTAAAAGCTGTTATAGGTTGTTTTTCTTCCCTCACCTATTTTTGTTTTACCGTTTATACTAGCATAAAAGTATTCTACTGTTTAGACAATTTCAAGATGGTTAAATGTGTTGTGTATTTTTTTCTTTCTTTACATAAAGGATCTTGAATCTGATGGTGCTAAAGAATTCCTTAAAGTTGCCAGTGCCCTGGATGATATCCCATTTGGTATCACTTCTGACAGTGAAGTTTTTGCAGACAATAAAGTTGAAAGTGATGGTGTTGTTCTATTCAAGAAGGTAAGAAGTGCATTTTAAGTATGATTTATTTGATAACTTTTTTTATAAATGGATTATTTCTGAGTCTTCTGTGTTACACATTTTCATGTATATTGTCTAAAATCTCTAAGATGTGACATTTACCCAGAAGAGTAATATTCCAACCTCAGTGGCATCAATGTGTTTATTTTATAAAGGGAATTTAATAATTTTTGTAGTATTATCATAAGGCAGTCTGAACATTCTCACAGTGTAGTTGTTCTTTGTGATTAGTAAGAAATATATTGTGTATTGGTAAATTCTTTAAAATATTTTAATGGTGTACACAGCTAGATATATATATATATATATATATATATATATATATATATATATATATATAAACAAGTGGCAGCACTGTGTCTTTGTTTTATTAGCTCCTTATTTATTTGTGCACAGTTTTTTTTCCAAAATACTTGTATCAAATAATCTTCTTTATATTGTGTATTGATAAATTTTATAAAATATTTTAATTGTGTACACAGATATATATATATATATATATATATATATATATATATATATATATATATATATATATATATATATAAACAAGTGGCAGCACTGTGTCCTTGTTTTATTAGCTCCTTATTTATTTGTGCACAGTTTTTTTTCCAAAATACTTGAATCAAATAATCTTCTTTTCACAATTTCATAGTTTTGGTAATACCTGCCTTGATAAATGCACTCTGATTCATTCTAATACATTTGAATACTTTATTCAGTGCTCAAGCTGTTTTGTCTTAAATTCAATGGGTTATCTTGAAAGATTAAGAAATATGCTTTCTTAAAATATGATGCCCAAAAGCACAGGCTCTGCAATGTGTTCAGGAACCAAGATCTGAAAACCTTGATCATTTAAAAGTAGATACAATGAAAGAGTTGTATGACTCTTGTGATATGTTTTATTGACATTATATAGTACAATAAATATGCACTCATTTTTTCACATTTTATTTTGCTTTCATAAGATATTCAATAAGCTAATGAATTACATTATAAGCTTTAAAGCTTATAAATGCTTTTCAAACACCCAGATGAAGTAAATTATAGACATCCTAAATGCTTAGTTGGTAATTGCCTGTATAACTCCTTAAAGATGTCGGAAAATAAAAAATGGTTTACCAATGTCTTTTCTTTAAAGTAATTTCACACGTCATTAACATTAGCTGACAATAAACTCCAAAACTTTTATTCCTGATTAATTATTACAAGGCCAATTTAATTTACACAAGAAGATAGCCTTCTGTTATAAGAATATGAGTTTTCAATGATTTGGCAGATGGTAACAAAGTTGCAACTGGTGATTGCCAGTAATTTGGGGCAACCTCTGCAGGTTCTGGTGCACTCAATGGAACTTGGGATTGAACCAGAAATGATTTTTTAAGAAGGGCATAACAAATTTTCTCTAGCAATCAAAGCAGACTAAATGTAATTATTTTACAGGAGCACTCTGTTGATGACTGTCAGTACTGTCACCCTTGGTTTGCTTAAAATGCTTTTTTTTTTTTTTTCTTTGTTGAGTTTAATTAGAAATCCCCCCTACAAATGATCCTGCAATTTTTATACAGTTCTCTAGTACTGATATGTGGGTGGTCACCTCAAATCATCAAGCACGTCAGTTTACTTGGCATAAGCGTCAAACAATCAAAATGGCCCTTTTTGAACATTTTCTTCCTTCTCAGTGTACAAATATGCTGTACAGGTAGTTGAAACTTGTGAGTACAAAGCTTTACCAGTTTTGTTTTAAAATCCACCAACTTCAGTGTTACAAAAAAAACTTTTTCTTGTTGGGTTGGATGGTGAACCTTGTATATTTGACTTGTGTAATTTTGATTGATGAAAAGCAAAGTTTTTGTCACTTTCACCTTAAATAAAATAATTTTCAAAAAGCATTGCAAAGTTTAAAACATTTTAAAGATCACCTCTTTGCAATGTTATCTGTTCATTTTATTTGTTAATGCAAATTATAGTTTACTCGACTTACAATCACACAGAATGTTTGAAAAATTACTGCTGTTATTCATTTAAATCTCTGTTTTTCAAAGATAATAGTTATTACAAATGTCTAATATTGCTGGTTTTGTCCAACCCAACATACTTTTTTATTATGTTTTAAAGGAATGAGTTGCAGGCTTTCAGAAGTTCTTCCCTTCTTCATGGCACTAATTTATTTATTAGACATCAGATCCGTGTTGCAAAGCATTGATTTTAATTTTTGTGCTATTTCTTTTCTTTATATTTTATGTTTTTTACATTTTGCTTTCAGTTTGATGAGGGTAGAAATGACTTTAAAGGTGATTTGAAAGAAGATGAGATTCGTAGCTTCATTGCTGGCAACAGACTGCCATTGGTGATTGAATTTACTCAAGAGGTTAGTAGTTCTTTTAATTTTTTTATTCACTTGCAAATACATAAATTAAGGTAAAGTAAAGAAAAAATGATTTATTAAATGTTTGCTGCAGATGCATGTCTATATAATAAATTTGTTTTTCCCCCCTTTTTTAGTCAGCTCAGAAAATCTTTGGAGGCGAAATCAAAAACCACATTTTACTGTTTTTGAAGAAAGAGGGCAATGATGATGTTATTCAGGGATTTGGTAATGCTGCTAAAGATTTTAAGGGAAAGGTAATGTCAATTTACATCTAATTTATTTTTTGTGAGCATGCTTTTTGGTACCTCTTATTATAAATTATTATGCTTTTCTTTCTTTCAACTTGTATATTATTGCCTTTACTAGAGAGCTAGTCTGATGAATAAAAATTACCTTCCAGATTCTGTTTATTTACTTGGACACAGCTAATGAGGACAATGGTCGTATTATGGAATTTTTCGGACTTAAGGAGTCTGAGGTTCCAGCAGTTCGGCTGATTACATTGGCTGAAGATATGACTAAATACAGGCCTACATCTGAAGGTGTTGATTCTGAAACTATCAGACAGTTTGCTCAAGATTTCTTGGATGGGAAATTGAAGGTATGCTTTTTAAAATTTTATATCAGTTTAAATTTAAACCCTTAAAAATGGCAAAAGATTGAGATATATAGAATTCAATGCTTCTGGGTACATCACATTTGTAAAGCCTGTTAAAAATTGAGAAGTTCTCAGGAATTGTATTGACAAAATAGGATACCACGCTAGTAGCTCAATTAAAAATGGGCAGCCAATGCTGGGCGGGACATTTAGAAAGAATGACAGGTGTGAAGAGGGGGAATTACAAAATCCTAGGGGTGTGCCGGATCCGTTTTTTCCATCCGGATCCGGATTTTCTTATGCGAAATCTGCCGGATCCGGATTCGGATCCGGAATAATCCGGATTCCGGTTTCTCCCGGATTTTGGTACTATTGGTAGATACTTCGGTAAGTCAAGGTGGACTACTACTTTTTGTGTATGGGAATTCGCAATCGGCGCCAAAAAATCCGAGTTTTTAATTTTCCGATGTGTGTGTCTATTTATTATTAAATTAGTACTTTCGATATAAATTTGAGTTCCGTTCCATTTGGATATGTGTCTTAAGAGAGACGCCATGTTTCTACGCGTTCGCAGCAGGTCATGCAGCTCGCTCAACCTAATTTCGCCATGGGGTTGGCCACGCCCCCCTTTTTAATGGCGGAAGTTGACGATACTTAGGAAATATTAATATATTATCACTATTTACATCAAAATAATTGATAACTTGTGTTTCAGAATGCATTTAAAGACATTTAAACTGGAATGTTTTAATTTGAGCTTTAACAACCCGGTAGAATCCATATTATAAATGATCAGAATTTACCGTGTGCAACACGTTGTCATTGGCAACCATTCACAGCCACTTGCATAACTGTATCGTAGTACTACCTCAGAGTTTCATTCATAAGAGTTTGCCGTGTGCAAAAACTATTAAACCATTGGTCAGGGAAAGCTTTAATTAATTATTCATGTGCCAAAGTTGAAAGTTTAAACTAAGTCTAAACAGTATTTTAGTGATAAGGCAGGGAATGCGTTGCCTTATATAAACTATATAGTCATTGCGCATGACGGGATTGGCGGAATGAGATCACAGAATGTGGAGATGCAGTCCATGTTAAAAAATGACAAACCAAGTCGTACTTTAAAAATTCATAACTTTAAAACTACAACAGCTAAAAATATGATTTTGGTGTTATAATTCTTTAAAAAATTACATCTTTTCAACTATGCCATTGGTTTATTTTTACAAAAAGTTTAAATTTTCTTATCAAAGTCCCTACACTATTGGCCACTATTAGCGGTGCTGACTCTAGCCTCTGGTATGTACGGAATATTAAACATTAAACAAGCTCAACGCTCGAAACAATCCATTAATGTATCGTGATCGTGTGGAATTCGGGAAAGAGAATTACTTTTATTTCAGATTATGATCCGGTGAGTCACAAAATCTGGCAAATTCCGAAATCCGGTATATTCCGGATTCCGGAATCCGGTTGTTCCGGATACATGTAAATCCGGCGGAACCGGATTTCACCGGATAGTGCAAAATCCGGCGGAACCGGATTCCGGACCGGACTCCGGCACACCCCTACAAAATCCCCAGAGGAAAACTGCCCAAGGGCAGACCAAGGCTTTGATCTGTGGATGATATGGAAAAGGTCTACAGCAGCAGGGAATACAAGCATGGAAAAGATAATCACCAGTCAGGTCTGAGTGGAAGGAATTGGTTAGGCCAATGCCCTACATGGGCTCTAGCGCCACAGGATGTGCGTTAGATAAACTCAAGAATTTAAAAACACAACAGTTATGTTACATGATTTTTATTTTGTTGTTTTTTAGGCTCATTTGATGTCTGAGGAGATCCCTGAAGATTGGGATGCTAAACCAGTAAAGATTTTGGTTGGCAAGAATTTCAAGGAAGTTGCTCTCAACAAAGACAAAGCAGTCTTTGTTGAATTTTGTAAGTTTTCTTTCTTATCATTTGACTGCATGCTTTTTTTGTTTGGTGAGATATTTTAGGATGACCCATTTGTTCAAATTATTTATCTTGTGAAATCTGTCTTTTGAGGTCATATTATGTTGATGTTAAAATTTTTTAAATATCAGATGCTCCATGGTGTGGTCACTGTAAACAGCTGGCACCCATTTGGGATGAACTAGCTGAGGCTTACAAAGACAATGATAAAATTGTTATCGCCAAGATGGATTCCACTGCCAATGAAGTTGAGGAAGTCAAAGTTCAGAGCTTCCCAACACTAAAATATTTCCCTGCTAACAGTGATAAGGTGTGTGCTCTTTTCTTCTTTTGTTTAGACTTTCTAGGTAGATCATTGTTATATACCGGTTATTAATTGTTCAAAGTTATCAATGCAACAATTATTTGAGTGCGTGCTGAATTTTTTGAGTATCATTTTCATTCCAAAAAAATTTATTTCCAATCCAGGTTATTGATTACAATGGGGAGAGAACTTTGGCTGGATTCAAGAAGTTTTTGGATAGTGATGGTCAGGAAGGTGCAGCTGCTGGTGGTGAGGTAGGTCAAAAACTTTCATGTGGTTCACTTAATGTGGCTAATCTGATGAAACTAACCAATTTCAGTAATTGATTGAATTTTGTTTAATAAATGAGCTTCATTCTTGTTAATTGGTGTACTTTATTTCAATGTCCTTTTTCATGTGGTGTCATTTATGATTTTCTTTATTCTTCCACCAGCCCGAGGAGGAGGAGGATGATGAAGAGGAAGAAGGTGAAGATGATGAAAAACCAAGAGACGAATTATAAGCAAAAGTTGAGCCTAATGTTTTCATCCCGTCTGTATTGAAGTTACAGTTAGTTAAAATTTTTAGTGGGCATTGTGTCGGTGCAGTTCCAGCATTGGCGTTGTTCACAGGCCTACATGTATTTTTATCTATTGTTAATTTTTTGAGCATTATTTATACACATCTATATTTAGCTTGCTCAAAATTTGCCATCAAATGGGACAGGGTTCAAAAAGTCAGATGAAAGTGTTTTATTTTCTCCTCTGTCCCAGTGTAACATTGGAGTTACCAAATTCAAAAAGTATATAATACGTAGGATTGTGAAAAGTGTGGATTTCATGAACGTCTGTGAGTGCTGCTTTGTTTTGGGTTATAAACTGTGATTGTGTGTGAGAGTGTCATGGTAAAAGTTGGTTGGCTCTTTCTTTTAGAGTCTCATTACAATTTAATACATATTGCATTATTCAAATTCTTTTGAATTTTTTTTTAAAAACTTCTTATAACAATAAAGCATGACAGGGTTGTGGTACAAGTGTTGGTGTGATGCTTTTCTTCTTTCTTTGTCATCAAATGACTTCATATTGATCATTTCCTCTGTGGTCAGTTGTAATTGATTGATGTAAAGCAGTTTAAGGAAGTGAACATTTTATTGTTATCAGGCAGTTGAGCTGTGGCTTGTTATCTGCAGTCAGTGGTGGCTGTTGTTTAATGGATGTCTTCCTTTCAGTCATTTCCCAATATTACCATTTGATCATGTGTTCGTACCTGTAGCATCCAGGCGTAGAGCTGGCAACTCAAGACCTCTGACCTTATTTTAAACATTTTTACCTGTATTTTGAAAGTATGGTGTGTTGAAGATCAGCATTCCGCCCAGTATTCAAGGGCCAGTGTTTTACTGAAATATTAAGTGTTGAAAACACTTAACAGATATTACAATTTGAATGGATAGTCTAGTCTTGTTTTATCAGCCTCTGCCTTCACAATGTGTGTCTCCAAAAAGTTTTATTTATGTGAGCGCATGTCCTTAAGGTCCCGTTTCTTGCTCTTGATAATTCAAGGTTTAATGGGCTTCAAATAAAAAGAAATTTTTTCCAAGGTTTAACTGCCTCCTTTTGATCTGTCTATTGGGAACTTTGAATGATGCATCATGTTTGAGATGGAATATGCCTATAGAATAAATGATTTGAACACCAATAAATGTTAAATTATTATCCTTAATTTGTTTAGTTAAAGATTGTTTTATAAAGTACCAGGTTCAATAATGTAAAGATGATTTTGTACATAAAAACAGAACAAGCATCTGTGCTGAATGAACATGGGCACCTGTCACTATGGACTTAAAATATCTTGAAAAGAAGGCCACTCCACATTTTCAAAAAAATATTGGTTAAGATTAAGAGAAGACTTACTCTGCTTGTTTCAAAGTCCTTGTCATGATGGCATGTTCTAAGAAATGCTGCCCATATGAGTATATAACATGTGCATTTAAAAAGTGCACATTTATTTGCCAAATAATGAAAAATAATAAGACAATAGGTTTAAAGACAGTAGTTATTACACCACAACTTGCTCTTTGAGGAAAATCACTGCTGCAATATTATTATTGATAGCATTTGAATAAGCTTTCACTGGTTACTAAGACTGAATTTATGAAAATAAACCAAAGTTAGGGGAAAAGCCGAAATAAAAGACCAAAAATTATGAAGAACTGTAAAAGTTGTATACAAATTTATATTCAGAAAATTTGAATAAAGACAGTGTCATCTGCAGTCTTCAATACTTCAAAGTGAGACAATTTTATTTTTATTAGGCATAATCTGGCTATTTTGGAGTTAGATTTCACTGAATTTCAGTTCATTTGAAATGCACAAATTGTTATATTTTAAATTGATTTGTGTTGCTCTTATTCAAAATATGATGCCATTATACAAGTAAATGATACCATTTTTATTGTAATCATGCTGTGGATTTAACACCACATTTCAAGTTACTGACACTATCACACTCCCAAGGAACAAACCATAACCATTGTTGCCTGCCACAAAGACCATGCTCAACCATCTCTGACATTTTGAAGAGCAAAACCCTGAATTCATAATTTTATTAGCTTAAAATTTAACTCATTTCACATTGCACTAGGCTTATAATAAACATTAGCTTTGCATAATTTAATTTGAAAAGAAATATCTAAGCATGTTAACTACATTACCTGTAAATAAAATCTGGACATAGACTGCCTAAAACTTTGCTAAAATATGGGAGCAATACTCCAGAATAAACCTAGAAGAAACAAATCTTTGATTATCATACCAGTACACAATATAATATTTACAGAGATACTTGTGAATGTCAACTGTTTCAGTTGAAAACGGTTGTCTGGTTTGTTCTCTAAAAAAATACTCCCAATTGCAGTAAAATCATTTCTGGCACTTAACCATATTATTAAATTTAAGTTAATTACAATTATTTGTCTTTGGGATATAAATTAATTTTAACAGAAGTGTTGGAGGGTGGGTGTGGATGGGACAGTCATTTTCTGCCCACTGCATTTTTTTTAAGTGAGGGGGGGGGGGAAGAATCTTGGCCCCTCCCAGGTGCCACTAACCCCAGCTACCATTGAATTTGAAGATTTTTTTTAAAACACTAGGATGCCTTTTATTGTCTGGGTGGGGAGGGGGGGGGGGGGGCGCGGCGGCGTTGGTCTGCAACTTTTTTTGTGTTTGAGGAGAGCCATTTTTGAAAATCATAAAAATTTTGTTATCGTATCTCAAGAAAAAATTTTGGGATGTGTGTCATAGATTAATATTTTTAAAAAAGAAGCAGCATGTGCTCTTTTAAAGAGCTGTATGTTTCTCCAAAGCTGCAGGATGAGGACCACTGGTCTAGGTTAATTATTACACATAATGAATGACTGAAGAGCCTCCTTAAAAAATTAAGACATTTGATTCTTTTTATATTGTCTTTTCAAATATTTGAAAAATGTCAATTTTTTAAAAGTGTGTTTCTCAATTCTTACTTATGCATAATAAATTTATTACATATCAATGAAGCACATATTTAAAATAATATTGGTATAGAGAGGGAACAAATTTTGAATTAATATTTCATAAAGTCAATGTCTCCTCAAATTCTCCAGTTTGAACAATGAATAAACTCAGTCCAATACCATGACAGCAGGTTCACATTGTGAACTTATAATTGCTGATCATAGAGTTCATGATAAGCCCATAAGAAAAATATGGCTTGATTTTTAAATCTCTTAGTACTCTGTATACAGTGTAAATACACTTTAAAAAATTAGTAATTAAAAAAATGTCACCGGGATTTTAGTATGAAAAAAACAACACATATGGCCCATAGAGTTTAAAGCGGATTGCGACATCGTCTATATCAACAATTAAACTAAACTGCAAATACACACACACACACACAAATGTATAGATATATATATGCCATTTCCCAAATGCCATTTCTCCAGATGTTTTGCCGTATATAATTTGGCTAGACAACAAAGTTATTTGTTACTTGCATAAGGAAATACATGTGACAAATGTCTTGACAGTGAATGGGTCTTACGTTTGACAAATCTAATTCATGGTTGGTTGAGAGAAGAAAAACAAATACATTTCAATGTAATATGTTAAAACAATTCTCATTAAATCAGGAGTGTCCAGCACCTGGCCAAGTGAAACCATAGGTGTATAAAACTCCTGGCCAATGGAAACCACTCTATGCAGTAATCTAAACCTATAAAAGAAAGCTATTTATTTTATTTAAAGTATACTGAAAGTTTTGCGTGAGAGATGCAGTGTTAAGTTTTACCATGAGCTTAATAATGAAAAGAAGAGCATTTATTCATTCAAAGAGCTGCAAGTGGCCAACCATTGTTATGGATTTAGTTAGGATTTTTTTTAAATGTTTTAGGGTTCCCTGTGTACAAGACTTTGCTCTTTTGTTCGGGATTTGCACGAGACATTTTTAGTTGTAAGTTTCAAATAAACCATGAGTAAGAGTTAAAGGTGGAATATGTGTTGGTGGCTGCATATCAGTTCACAATGAGGGTAAGATATGGTCAACAGTTGGACACCTCTGTAACTTATAATATCATAATATCGGCACAATTTTCACAACTGAAGACCATTCCCAAGAAATTAACTTGGTGAGCTTTACTGTAGTTGTAATAGCAACTGACAGTCTTGAAATTTATCTGTTAACACTTTAAAAAATTCAAATGTACTTGAGTGAAGTTATTTCTTTCTTTAAAAAAAACAACAACCCAACAATAAAAAGAATAGAAAAGATCAATTTAAATGATTATGAATAGATTACTTCAGAGCAAAGTTTTGACGCCATTCTAGGGAAACTCATTTAAGCAACAATCCTTTTTCCAATTTTATTAATTTTAGAAGAAAAAAAACTAAAATCCTAAATGTAATAATATGACTATCCATTGCTTTAGTTTAGCCAGAAATGGAAAGACAGGACGATTGAAAAGATGTTTTGCCTAAATGCCTCCTTCAGCTGACAAAGACAAAGAAAAAGAAATTGAAATGTAAGACTCGTGTCTGGGGAGCTATCCTAAAAATGGAAGTTGTCATGAAAAAACTTTTTTCTTTCAGTTCAAGTTCTTTTTTGTCTTGTCTGCTGAAGAAGGCGTTTATCCAATACATCCTTTTAATTTTACTTTTTTCCCCATTTCAACCTAATACTAAACATATGTTGTACCATTATTTCCTTCACACTGCTACAACACTTTTCCTCATATTTCATCCTTTAGCTATCAACAGATGAATTAGTTGAACATTCAGCCATGTACAGAGTTATGGATAATATTTATGTTCACTCCAAAAAAAGTTATTAACTGCAATATTTTAAATAAAAAAAAACAGTGAAATAAATAAAAATATTTTTTAACAATTACAGCAATAGAAAACTTGCCTTTTAATTACCGGTACATCATTATGTAGAGATTAAAAATTGTCACTTTCCCAGTTATTTTTAAGCCAACCCCTTTTCAATAGAAATAATGAATAAGTATAAGAAAATCTGATCACATATTACATGATGGGGAATATTTAAAAAAATGTACACAATTTCATGGAAAAAGATGGTGGGGAGTTGAACTCAAGAAAAGTCATTTTCCTCACAAATGTGATACTAAGCTTTAGTTAGAGCAAAGAGAAACTAAATCTGATCTCATAGGTATCTCAAATACGGTAGTACAATACTCAGGTCAAAAGTTGTATAATCACTGGGAAGTTCATGAAATACAATTTGTAAAAAAAAAAAAAAGTACTGAGCAAGTCAAACAATACATTGAACATTTTTTAAAGACACCGGTTAGAGTTAAATAGTTCTCAAAAGAATTATTTTCATCAAATTTCAAAACAAAACAGATCGTGTAAATTATTTGAGTCTATAATCAATATAATGGCAATACAAGGGACAGGCTGATACCTGCAATATGGTCAGGAGTTTAATGAGATAATAAAAAACAATGAATCAGACTCTTTTCCACTTACACAAAAATTCATTATTGATTAATTATCTTGAGAGTGGAAAATAAAAGCTTTTTCATCATAGTCTTTGAGTAAAAAAATACCTGGTACAATATTTTAAAATAACGCTTCACAGGGAATTAAGATTTTTTTTTGGTTTGAGTGAATGTCGCTTTTGTTCCTGTAATGCTACTCCAGAAGACTTTGTTCCTATAATGCTACTACAGATGACTTTGTTCCTGTAATGCTACTACAGAAGACTTTTTTCCTGTAATGCTACTACAGAAGACTTTGTTCCTGTAATGCTACTACAGAAGACTTTGTTCCTGTAATGCTACTACAGAAGACTTTGTTGGTTGAAGTCATTGATACGCAATAGCTCAATGAAATAATTTCTCATGTGTCTGATCTTAAGCAATTGACCTACATTTCATTTACATATGACATTAGTATTTTGTGCTAATACCTTTGCAGGTTATATCTACCATAATGAAATTAGGCATGTCAATGTCATACACAACTGAACACAAAAATGGCAACAACACAAAAATATCAACAACAAAAATTAAAAATAAAGTAACACCAGTCCTTACATAAATAATGTTATTTAACATTAATGAAATAGAATAAACAATATACTGAAAAAAGAAAATGAGTTAAGATAGGAACACGTATGTTTTATGTATATATCACAGATGTTTTCACCATGCTCTACAGGAGCGCAACACAGTTCACAGGTCATAGTTCACAGGGTTAACTGTCCATTTGAAATTGAAATAATAAACATGAACAGGGTGTACATATTACAGCTGGTAATTGGACATCCCAAGGTTCCCGGCTCGAAGGAGTGAAATGGGATTCGGGTGAAGCTGTTGGTCACATTTGAAAAGAAATCGCAGCAACAAATTTGCAATCTTTCCAACATAACGTTGAATCAGTTGATGGCACAATGTGATGGTACAATGCGGTAAAATTAATGGGTAACATTTTGATGTATTATTAAGATGTGCGTGTCACTAAGCTGATACATTACCAGAAATAACATCAACAGGGTTTGGCGCATGAAGGACAGATTTGGGGAAAACATGTAACTGTTCTTAAATAGTTTCAACGAAAGAAAACTTAAAAATTAGGCCTGCAGGTGGTTGATGGCAGTGATGATATGAAGTTAAATTAGAAAAACTGTGCAGAAAATTTAAAAATTAACCAAGAAATTTAATTTTTAAAAAGTGACTTAGACTAAAATGTGGGGAGGAGGTTTGCTGAGAAATGAATATTTTCTTGTTGAAGAGCCAAAAATTCTTCTTAAAATGAAGATATCTTCATTTTTTATAGGCCAGCCTGTGGGCCA